AATGTCTTCTCTCGGGAACTTGACAGAATAGTGTCCAGAAACATGGCTGTTGTCGATGCGCGCAAAAACGGACGCCAGTGACTGTCTCTGGAATTCATACAATGGACATGTCACACAGGATGTGGTGTAGCGTCTCTTCGCAATGACAGGCATCGGAGAGAGCGTTGTCGGCTATTCATATGACAAAGGAATAAGATTTTGTAATTGCCACTCCTATAGCCATAAGCGATGAAGAAGGGTCGGCTTCTCTTCGGTCGAGCCCAGTGGGCATGCTGGAGAGCCATCAAAGAGGACAGGTGGTGTTGACGATTCGCCTCGATGCTTGGTGGGTACCATAGTGAGAACGTGATTTCACGCGCAAGTCGTCGTAAGATTACGGGCAGCATCGGTCCGCGAAAGTGATACGGCTTCTTCTTGTGTTCCTTCAAGAGCTGCCCGCGCGGCAGTATCGGCATGTTCGTTCCCTATGACGCCGCAGTGACTTGGCAGCCGCTGATGCGTCACATGATGCCCTTGCTCGTGTGAAGTGTGGAGAAGGCATCGAATTTCGAAAACAAGCTATTCGTACGACCCGCGACGCAGTGCTGAGAGCACAGATTGTAGGGCAGTCCTTGAGTCGCTGAAACTTTACCATTGTTGTGGTGGTTCCCAATTGACCACACAAAAGCAACGCGCAAAGCAGCTAGTTCCGCTGCTGTAGATGCCGTGGAGTGGTCAGTCCTAAAGCTGATGGTAACACCTCTTGCTGGGACAACTACTGCACCTGACGAACACTGGCGGTTCGTGGAGCCATCGGTATATATATGTACACTGTCTGAATATTTCTCGTGCAAAAGAAGAAGAGACAGTTGTTTCAGCTCGGGCGACGAAAGCTCAGATTTCCTCCAGATCCCCGGTACACTAAGGTGCACTGTGGGTCGAATAAGACACCAAGGGGGTATCGATGGTTTAGATGCAGGAGTAAATCCCGAGGGAAGTTGCTCGTTGTATTTCACAATCATTTTAGCGAACGATGCTTGGCGCCTCTATGAAGGCAACAGTGCAATGTGATGACAGGGAGCACGTGCGAAGTGTCTGATGTGCGTTCTCAAGACTTTTACAACAATGTGAGTTTGTATCGGATAGTCACCAGCAATTGCAATTGTTGCCTCTGTTGACGTACACCTGGTCAGACCGAGGCACACTCTCGGTGCTTGGGCTTGTAGTGCCTGTAGAACACGAACATTGATCTTGCAGGTATTGCTAAGCACGGGCAAGCTATATCTCAGAAAACCGAGAAACAGCGCTCTGTAGAGTTACATCATCGCGTCTGCTGACATTCCCCACGTCTTTCCTGCCTGGAACTTGAACAATTGGGGAATAGCGGTCAGGCGCTTCATCATATGGGCCACATGCGGACTCCAACAGAGGTCCTTATCAATAATGATGCCAAGAAACCGGTGGGTTCTGGCGTAAAAAATCAGTCGCCCGCAGATTGAAATGACATGAGGGGTCATTGCTTTGCGAGTGAAGGCAACCAGCACGCATTTTTCTGGTGATATGCTGAGACCTTGTTTTAACGCGTAGTTAGCAATCATAGTTGCTGCTTTTTGAAACCGGGAACGTATCTGAGGACGTGTGACTGCCGAAGTCCAGACACAGATGTCGTCTGCGTATATTGAGATTTTAATGGTACTTGGTAAGTGTTGAGCAGGGCCAATTAGTGCAAGATTTAGTAGCGTCGGGCTAAGAACTCCGCCTTGAGGAACACCCCTGGAATTATAGCGTCACGTAGTTGGGCCATCTTCTGTTAACACAAAGAATGATAATGCGTTGCCGGTACAGGCGGGCTCACTTTTAAAAGAAACACTTGCGTGTAAAACATGTCTGTACTTTGCTTTCTTACAAAAGCATAGTGGTTTAGCTATGTATTATACTTTCGGTTCTTGACAACAATGTTTCCACATCCACTTGCAGTTAGGGGCTATGACTACATGACAAGTGTTCATTCGATTGTTCCCTTCAACAAGGAACCGTACAACAAGTCATGCCTGCTGAAGAATGCTGCGAGAGGTTTCAACGTTTGTCGGTCCTCTAGATGCGACCCACTTAACAATGCACACTGAAATGCATAAAGCACACGGCGTGTTTCTATGAGTGCTGGAATACGAAGTCAACACGTTTGATTGTAGTAGTGTCTCTACATTACAAAATTAGTCTAAATTATGCGTGCCTCCGGAATTGGGCCTGTATACACATGGTCGGACAAAAGAAAGTGATGATGCGAACATTTTTTTTATTTATTTCTGAAGAAAAAGGGGAGGATCTCTATATACTGGGGCCCCTATGACAACCTCTGCGAGTGGAAGCTCTATAAAGGTTGCAAAATAACAATCGATCCTCCGCCACAGCATCTCTTGGAAACTTGTTTTGTGTTCGAAAGCAAATGATTTACAGTGCAAACCCGTAATAACCAAACCCCAAAAACAAAATCTTATCATTTTGTCAAAACCCATAACAACAAAATCGAGCAATAACGAAATATTTGCCTATAGTCGGCTAACGCCAATAGGATTCAATACATCTCGCAGTTCTCAACAATAAAATGTTCTAAACTGAAATCCTACGACAATGAAAATGGACGGGAATATAACGCTTACCCCCTCACATGCTATCGGCTCCCTCCCCCCCCCCCCCCAAGGTCAGCTCATTCGAGTAGGAGCTCAACTACACCAAATAACGTCGGTGTCTAAGGCTTTGTTCGCACTAACAAAGGTATATGAGGTCATTCACGAGAAGCTCAATGATGAAGCCGTCGCAAGTAGCGTACGCGATAACTTCGACTCCAGGGAACACGGTCCAGGCCTAGGGGAGAATATTGTCACGGAGTCGTCACGTGGACGAAGGGAGCAGTCTATAGATCGAAAATTAAACTGTTTATTTAGGCCGAACTTGTGGCCAACAAACGAAAAGTAAGATTACAGCGATACACATTGCAGCCGATAGCGACGCACGGAGCGTCAGCCGTCGAACAAATGGGAAGCGGTTTAGTACGTTGACATTTATACACGTGCCTTCGAATATTCTAGCATTATCGCCAGCAGCCACGTAGGTTCCAGAATAATCTGCAATGTTCGCGGAGTGGGCGTAATCTACTACAGTGCCGAAGCTTCTTGAACACTGCAGGTGCTATTTGCGCTGGGAATTACGTTCAGTGTGACGGGGTGATAACAAAGTTTGATGAAAGTAACGTGGCAATAATATCACCTACGTGACGTACTCGGAAGCTTTGGACACAATTCGCACGTTCCTTCGAACGCACGATAACGATGACGTCATCGAATACTTGCTCCTTCGCAAAAATCGGTGCGTTTACTAAATGGCAAAGGCCGACAAGACAAGCTATAACTGAATGTTTGCATCGTGTTGATTGATATTTCTGGTTTAACTTCCCAAAACCGCCATATGATTATGAGAGACACCGTAGTGGAGGGCTCCGGAAATTTCGACCATCTGTGATTCTTTAACGTGCACCCAAATCTGAGCACACGGGCCTACAACATTTCCGCTTCCATCGGAAATGCAGCTGACGCAGCCGGGATTCGATCGTGCGACCTACGGGTCGGCAGTCGAGTACCTTACCCACTAGACCACCGCGGCGGGGCGTTTTTGGCATCTAGTTACTTTTTTCATTCTTGTAACGAACAATCTCATTATTGGGCATGTATTTCACGATAACCGAAATTGCGGTTTCACTGTCGAAACTAGAGAATGATCGGTTCAGTTGCACATTGAAGTATGAAGTTTTAAATTATATGCATTTGTAAACAAATGAGCCCTCCAATGAAACAAGTCACACAGAAGAGTGGTAAGTCAAGCGAGTTCGTAATAAATATTCTATAATGTAACTGCGCAAAAAACCGACAAAAACACAAAAAGAGAGCTCACCTTTCGTGTCTCCATCTATTTTTCGCGCAGTTACAATATGAAGGCACGCAGATAATTCAAATGTTGTCACACCGCGTTTGAATACTGGCATACAAACTTTGTGTTATTCTTTACCATCACTGTTAAAACGTTTTCGGTAAATTTTTTATTTGTTTGGATGTTCCTCAGCAAAACTCGGAACGATTTTTGTTGAAAAAATTTAATTTCATTCCCCCCGACGTTTGATTTTTGTATTTCTGTGTGCTCTTTTATCTGGCTATTGTGTATTCTAATCTGCACTAATAAGTTTTTCCTTGTGAAATGACTAATTTCTTTGCTGTTGGCCGCACGCCATACATTATGTTTAGCTGCGGAATAGTCGATCCGCCTCTAGGCAGGGCTTTTCGCCGTTGTCCTCCATCAAGGTTTATGTTCATTGTGGAAATAAGCATTCGACCTTCATTTGATTAGATTTCGTTATTTCGGGGTCCAACTGTACCGAGTCTAAGTACCCAGATTATATATGGAGAGGTATTTTTATTGATGTATTTATTTTATTTGGGCATTCTTTACGAAAATACCCACGAAGGGGTCAAAAGGAGAGAGCTTCTCCTGACTAGGCCCACTCTTCGTGAGGCACCTCGGGCAAGTACAGCAAAACAGAACGAATTCAAGATTTTACATACAAATTATAAAAAAACGATGATCATTACAACAAGCGCAGAAAATATTGCCTAAAGATTCAAAAAAGCTGTCCCTTAGCGACAAAAACAAAGACGTTATCAACACTATTAACATATATTAAAATACATACGATTTGTGTGTATATAAAAAACAATGATAAAAAAGAAAGATTACAACAGATATTTCATACATTACCAATCTTCAGCACACGCACCCCATAAGTGGGTTTGGATTAATACATTCGTAATTTGCTTCTTATATTTTGTAATGTCTTTAGTCTCCCTAGCGTATTCTTTTACTTCAGGAATGTTGTTGCTCAGTAAATCAATTTGGTTACCGATTGACTGTATAATAGGTTTTTACGGTTCATGAGCCCGAAACCTCAATTTGGTGCACCTTGCGTCTTGCAGAAGCTTGGAATCAAGCCTTTACAACAAGGCCAATGAACTTCAGGAGGACATTAGTATGAAAAGGTTTGATCTCCATGTGGCACAGATTCACCTCGCAGCTGTCAAAGCCCAGGTGAGCAGATTCACCTCATCAACTAGTTGATGATAAAGCACTACTACGTAACACAGCACAGCTATTCTACGCTACTAGTGACTATACGGTCTGTTTCTATTAAGCCAAATTATTTTATGTCTATAGTTTATCTAACCTTCAGTAGCAACACCATACCTACTGTCTTTGAGTCAAAATATTTTTTTTTCTTCTGTGACCATGAGTAAGGGGTTCCGTTTTGTTGCAGCTTATTTTTGATGAATGTGTCACACCACGATCAGAATCATCTACAATTTCTTCAGTCGTTTTTGTACACGATCACAATCTAGACTCATTCAATCTAGATCGCAATCTACGTTCATGCTGAATGTCCATGTCAGCATGAACGTAGTTCGCTTCGTTCAAAAAACTGATTAAAATGAATCTGTGCAGCACTAGTAAGTTAAACTATAGTACTGCGCAGATCGATCTTAATCGGTTTTAAACGTTATAAGTACACGAACATTTAGGTTAGTATTGTCGAAGTAAAACTCCCCGGGTCCTAATTTCTTGAAACATGCTTCGCTCAGAATGCAATTGTAAAAGAGAAGAGCGGAAAGCTAAAAAGAAACTAATGCAGTATTGTGGTTACCCACTCATAAAATAAAATCAGTAAAATAAGCAGAAGGCTGGATATTATTAATAAAAGATGTAGATCAATCAACAAGTGCCCATTCCATTGAAAAGAACTTTTAGAGAGAACCTCTTAGTGAAAAAAAAAACTTTTATAGTTGATCTCTTATTAGTGAGGTATCTGGCGCATAAGTGGGTGACTGGTTTCGCTCAGAACAAAGCTAGTGATGGCAAATCCTTTTGACCTAATAACTACGGGATCCTTAAACCAATTCTTTAAATTTTCGGAACGCAGATGTAGACATATCAAAACAGTTATTCGGTCTCCTCTCTGTACTGCTTACTTAAGCAGCCGACAGCCTCGAAGTATCCACCAGAGGAGTTGCACCCAACTTCCCGCCTTTGCGATGAATTCCAGAAAGCCGTTACTCTAATCCCTCTATATATATTCACTCCACAATTTTCGCTCATCGTGTAGCACCGCCAGAGCATGCCTACTTCAGTGAACAATCCAGAAAAACCAAAGCAAGGAAGAAAATCAGAATTCATCAGCTACCACTTAAGTCATCAGGCAGTAAAATCGACTATAGCGAAACTTTATAAAGTACAATAAATCAATGTAATATTTATGATTAAAGGTTAAATATGCGGCAATCTTCCTATTCTGAACTAAACATTTGTAAAACTAATGTAAAATGAAGGGAAGCATGCTTTTAGTGGAAATAAAACTCCCGAATCTCTCGTGGTTGCACGGGATTACCACGGAAAATGCAGGAACAAAAGCAGGAAACACGCAAGCTGGCGCTTCTCTTATGAATGATATACCGTTTGAATGACCACGAAAGATATTCCCTCGTGTTGTTGTATTTTTTTTTAAGACGATTCTTTCTTGGGGACCTTCAACGCAAAAATTTTGGTCTGTCTGTCCATTCGTCTGCTTGTCCACGTTCAGCGATACCGGGTACTCTCAACGGCACCAGCCGATACCCCAAACGGCCCACCCCATCCGCAGCGCCCACCAATGTTTCTCAAGATTCAGCGTTCATGCTTGTGCGTTCGTCAATTAAAAATCAATTATTGCGCATTTCTGAGCCACCATAACAACACGTATATATTCTGTAGTGCGTCTTTTACTAGAAAAGGCATACATAATTTTAAGGACCGTAGCGTTTATCACGCTGCGCTGACAACGCAACGCTTGCACGAAAAGGCAAGCGTTTCCAATGCTTTGTTAAGACGACAGGGTGGTGTCACATACCCGTCGCTTCGCGTTCTACACCTTATCACCTCTGAGACGGGCGCGCATGCTCATCTCAGAGCCGTGCACTTCGTTTTTCAAGAAAAACTGCCAGATAGCGCTCATGGCTGCACGTGTGAAGTGACTTGATGCACTCGTTCACCTCCGCTTGCTACGCTCGAGGCACTAACGCAGCGCCTCCAGAATACCATTCACCGATTTTCTTAGCGCAGAACATCAAATAACGTTTCCTTCACTCTCTCCAGACGCAAGACCAAAGCCTTTCGACGACATTTGCAGGTGAAACATGCACATACAGGGCCAGTTTTTTTTTCTTTTGTTTTTTTACGCTTTCGGGACATATGTAAGACCAAAGCCCTCGAAGTCCAAGACAACGCCCTTCGGGACTATTGGCGATGTTTGGCAACTAGTAGTTTAAGCCTCGTGCGTCAATCTAAATCTAAGAGCGGAAACTGTGAAAAAAAAATCAAATGTGACCTGTGAGAATCACGTTAGCGAAAAAGATAAAAATGTTCGAACATTAAACGAACTCTCGATTCACGTTTGTATTACCTAACAGGTATTACAGAGCGAACTTTTTCAAAAAGTCGGGTGGTGCCAAATTTTCGTACAGATGATAGGCAAATTACCCTTGAAGACAGAAAAAAAAACACAAGTCGCAGACGAGTAATAGGGTATATATTAGTGAGTTGCCATTTTTTTTCTCTCATGGTAGTCTCTCTCTTCTTTCTCTTCCTCTCTCTGCTTTATAAAATTACACGTACCTTCCAGTGCAGTGAAAAAAAAAGTCTTGTGTCTGCGTTGGGAGCTCCAATCTTATGTCAGCGTGACCTTCATACGGTTACCTCTAAGCATCTTTCCTTTCTTGCAAATTTTTTCCCCAAGCGTAATACCACAAACCTGGGATCGAATTCGCGAGTATCCTAGCTCAGAAACCGTCGTTTTTACCACGTTCGCCAGTATCTTCGACCTCACAATCACCGGCTTCTTTCCCGAGAGCAGCTTTTGAGCAAGAACTCTTTTGGTAAGGAGTCTTCCAAGCCTAGTCCATTTAGCCATCCCCTGCACCTGTCTCCTTAGCTTGTCGGTCCGTATCACGAAATAGACAGGAAAAACGCGAGGCATGTTGAAGAGAAAAGTTGATCATTAACGATGAAGCGCAATAAAAGACGCGCAAAAAATTACAGTACCTTACAGCGGGTTTAAGTCGTGCAAGATAGCTATGTATTCGAGTAGTCCCCATCTGCTTCAACTGATGGTGGTGGGCAGTCTGATGCTATAAAACCTTTTTCCGACAAGTCCGCGACTAAGAGCTAAACACAGTCCGTGTTTGGAAGGTCCGACGTCGCGACATCAGCTGACTCAGGGGCAAAAAAAAGAAGAAACGCGGCAGTAATCGTGTTATACCGATTACTTCGTGTTATACCGAGGTAATAAGTATAACACGAAAGTGAAATGTGTCTTTACAGAGGTAGTTAAGCGTTAATTGTGCATTGTTTAAGCAAACGCAACAAGCTGCTAAGTCACTTAAAAAACGGCAAGCACGTCGAAACCACACCACACACCTCAGACGGGAAGCTGGTTGAGCTCCCTGCCTTTTTCTCAATTTATTCTCCCTCTCTTTCAAGCGAAATCACGCAATAAATTAGCACACTACACAGGACGAGCACGGACTAACGACTGTCACAGCTAGACACTTAAAGCTCACTGTTCAAGCAGAAAGAAAGGCGCACAAAACGAGCGCACAGGTATACGCAGGACAAGCGCGAACAACTGTCGTAATTCTCACTTCGTCGTGTGTTAACAGTGTGCTCCTTTCGCGGCAGCGAGCGAAGTGACCTTCGTCCTCTCCCGAATTAAGAGTCTGATAAGCCCGCGCGCAGGGGAGACCACGCTGCGTGGAGGCAACGCTACGTGGAGGCAATGACCTTTAGTGCGCACCCAACGCAAGCCTGTCGAGCTATCTCGCTATTGATAACAAAAACACGCTAATGTTTCGGAATTCTGAGTACCCCCAGTGCGATGTATGGTGCATATGAATAAATGACTTGTCGTGAGCGTCCTCAACAACGTACGCTTTGTGGCGCAGTGGTTAGCGCCCCTCACTGCCAATCGAGAAGTTGCTAGCTCGATGCCACGCGACAAGATGTTTTCCGTTTTTATTTTTTTAGATGCGAAGCAACTATTTGACTAGCCTGTGTAACGCTGTCCCTCCGTCCGCACCGCTGCCATCGCCGCAGGTGTTGGAGCGGTGCCAAGTAGCTCACGCCCTCCTAGCAGTGCGTGGTGACGTCTCTCCCTCGCCTGTCGCGCGCTCCCCGCGTCTCAGCTCTCTCTCGCTTCACCCTCTCCACCGCTAGCAACGCTCGAGCTCACTCCTCACGTGGGCATCATCTCACCCGCGCTACCTTTCTCCATCTGAAGGCGAGAAAATGCTACGGGCCACCTGGTGCGCGCGCCGCGAGGATCGCGTGGCGCCGACAATATTGACAGCGCGCCGCTGCTTGCCGCGCAATCGCCGACGGGCGGGACGCCGTCACGGCATGCTTCCCGCTATAAAAACAATAGTGTGCGCGTACCTTTCCCAGCTGCAACCGGTGTTGCGAAGGTTAGCGAAGCCAATCGCGTTCACAATTGGCGACGTCAACAACAACGAAGCGCAAGCCAGGGAAGCCGAACGCAAGCGTCGGCAGTGGAAGACCAGCGATAACGACGAGGTGCGAATCAAGAACACTGATCGCGTTCGAGGATACAGACAGCAAGTGGGTAACACCGACGAGACGCGAGCCAAGGTAGCTGAGTGCAAGCGTCTTCAACGCGTCCCGCCTCTCGTGTCTTTGCGTTTTAAACCAACGTTTTCTCGTGTAAACGCTACAGCGAGTTTCGCTTCAAACCGTTCTTCCAGCACCGAGCAACTCAGCCGTTGTTACTAACACAGTGGAACTGCAGAGGTCTCAAGAACCACAAGAAGCGGGCTCATTTCCGCCTCTATCTTGAGACCTTTAAGTTCCTCGTTGCCGTGGTTGCCCTTCAGGAACCCGGCAAGGACGTCAAACTCACAAATTACACTACATTTCAACACAACCCGGAGACATGTATACATGTTCACAAGCAATATACCGCCCAGGAAGTCACACTCCCCACAACACCG